TTACCCTTTTACTATATAGAATAGAGGCCTGGTGCATGGGTGGGGCTGGCTGGTTTGCCCTGAAGGGTGTCCTGGATCAGGGTGGGGGTCCCCACTGGGGTGCCTGGCCAGTCTGGGTGAGGGGCTGATGGCTGTTTTCAGGCCGACTGAAGCTCCCAACTGCTCCTTTTTTTCTTTTCTTTTTTATTCTGGGCCAGCTTTAGCTCTGGCTCCAGCTCTGAGGCTTCTGCTGCTGAAAGAATGTATCTGGTTTGTTTGTGTTCTATAATCAAAACTCTATATAACTCCAGCTCTGAGATCCCGGCTCGCTGAAAGCAGGTTTCTGGGGTTTTGTTTAGCTTCTATATTTGTTAACGGTGTCTCAAACTGCAGGCTCAGAGGCCTGCAAGGCAGGCCGGGGAAGTTGGTTTCCTCCGTCACTGAAGCAAGCAAGCCTCATGTTAGTTTCAAGCTGCCTGGCTTCCGGCTGCCATCTTGGCTGGCAGTTAATTTGCATATCGCCCTGATTAGCCAATGGGAAGGGTAGCGGTTGTACGCCAATTACCATGTTTCTCTTTTATTAGATAGGATGGTATAAAACAATGCATACTATTAGCCCTCCCCATTTGCTGATGTAAAACCCATGGATAGATACAGAGAGCTGATTGTATTGAGAGAGAGAAAAATCTACATGTAAGAGGACCCACACAGTTCAAACCCATGTTGTTCAAGGGTCAACTGTGCCATCATGTAGTAAAATATATTATAAAAATAAAACAATATGAGAAAGGAGATAGATAATGCTTGGGGTATAATAGGTTAGAGCTGAGGCTAAGCTGCTATAATATAGACATCCAAAAGACAGTGTCTCAAAAAAAATGGCAGATATTTATTTCTCTCTAAAATCTGTTGTTTAGATTTTAGGGGTTAGGGTTGGCAAACTATGGCTGTAGGTCAAGTCTGGCCTGCTGCATCTTTTCTGTAAATGAAGTTTTATGGAAACTACACACCCATTTTTATATGTCAGTGACTGTTTTTACACTATAATGGTGGAGTTGAGTAGTTGTGACAGACATCTACTCACAAAACATAAAATGCTATCTGATTTTTACAGAAATGACTCATTTTAGAGTTATAGTAGTGGTACATCTGGTCATCCAGGGAATTGGATTCCATTCTCTCATTGTTATGTAATCACTTAAGATAGTGTGTGCATCTACATGACTGAAGTTTGCACTTAATGGAGAAAAAATGGAAGTAGAGTGGGGGGGGGGGCGCAGTTTGACACGTTTTCACTCATCCCATTGGACAGCCTTAGTCACATATAGCAAGGAAAATTTGGCTATGCACCTAGCTAAGACTCAGTGTGGTGGATTTGGGAGGATAAGGCAAAATACATTCAACTATTATTTTGAACCTGGTAGTCAGGCAAAACTTTGGAGAAATGCAGAGACCTAATATGAATGAGAGAATCCATGTAAGTCTCTGGGAGAAGAGTTTTTTGGAAAGAAGAAATAGCAAGGAAATTTTCTATTGACTGCCTTGTATTTTTATCTTTCTCCTTCTGTAAGTGTTCAAGAGCTAACCTATATGAAAGCATTGGCACATAAGTGGTCAAGAATTTTTCTGTTTATGATGTTCCCTGAAATACTCTTTTGGTTGTAGTCATCTAAGTCTCAGCTGATATTCTTTCTCTTTCATGAAATCTCAGGTCATTTCTCTTGCCTCTCCAGTGCTATGTAACTGTTCTTTGTCAATTAGTGCCTTTTATGTAAGCAATTTCCTATATTAAAGGGGCATTATACTCAAGGTTTCTTGAAAGAAGAAGTATACAATGTTTATTAAACTGGACTGTCAGGTATTTATTCTAGAAAAATAATTTTTGGTATACTTCCATTCCATTCTGGTGTACTAAAGAATTGAGTATAAAATAATGTGTCATTTGAAATGTGTCATTTACAAGTGAAAGTGGAAACTGGGTATATTTTCTTCTTCATTACAGATAAATAGTGCAACAAATGTAGCTGACTTAAACTCAATTATGAATGAATACTATAACTACCTAGAGCTTATTGGATGTCTAAGAATTATAACATCATTAAGTGACAAATATTTATTGGCAAAAGACATACTTGCTTACCATGTAATTAAAAGAGTCCAAGCACCTTTTGAAAGGTAGGTTATTTATATGTGGAAGATTTACTCCAATTACATTTTAATTATCTTATAATGTGAGATATATTTGATAAAAATTTTAAATAATTTTAAAACTAACCCGTTAAGGAAGACTACTGTTCTGACCATACTATATAGAATTGCATATATGATGCTTATGTAGGAAGAGTAATCATTATCTCAATTTATAATTATTTTTCTAAATAAAAATTATTTTAAAAATTCTTACCACTTAAGCCAACTATTTTATCTCTCCTCATTAATTTAATAAGTATATATTGAGCACCTGTTGTCTGTTGGGTAATAAGTACTGAGCGTTCTTTGATTAACACGGTAGATGTGATTTTTTTAAAAAAATTCGTAATTGTTTAAAGTATTACATAAGTCTCCTTTTCCCCCCATTGACCTCTCTCTGGCCGCTCCCATCCCCCAGCACATGCCCTCACCCCCCTACTATCTGTCTCCATTGTTTATGCTCATATGCATGCATACAAGTCCCTTGGTTGGTTTCTTACCCCCCCTCCCCCCCCTTCTTTTTTATAGCAGCAGAGTATTCCATCGTGTAGATGTACCACTGTTTTCTAATCCATTCATCTACTGATGGGCACTTAGGCTGTTTCCAGATCTTAGCTATGGTGAATTGTGCTGCTATGAACAGAGGGGTGCATATATCCTTTCTGATTGGTGTTTCTGGTTTCTTGGGATATCTTCCTAGAAGAGGGATCACAAGGTCAAATGGGAGTTCCATTTTTACTGTTTTTTTTATTTTTATTTTTTTAATTTCTTACAATATTACACAGGGTATTACATATGTGTCCCCTTTTTACCCCTGCCCTTGACAATCCCCTGGCCTCCCGTACCCCGCAGTGTCTTATGTCCATTGGTTATGCTCCTATGCATGCATACAAGTCCTGTGGTTGATCTCTTACCCCCTCCCTCCCATCTTCCCTCATAAGTAGGACAGCCTGTTTGATCCTTCTATGTCTCTGGTTCTATTTGTAGATGTGATTCTTGCTCTTTAGCTTTAGAACGCTGGTCTTCAAACTTTTTGTTCCAATAATACTTTTAATTAATTTTGAAAACTTACATATGTCCTCGTACTCTATTTTTTAATAATGAAAAATAAAATATATTTGAAAGTAGGAAGAATGGTATGGCATGTAGTCATGACCCATATCAATCAACCCGTGGCCAGTCTTGTTCATCTAACCTACCCTTGTTATTGACTCAAGTATTATTTTCAAACTATTATCAAACATCATGTTATCTCAAAAGCGGGTTTTTCTTTAAATTTTAGTATCATTAATCCATAGATTTAAATATACTTGTGTTGAAATTGTTACAGTTATCTTTACTGAAGTTCAAATTGTCTCATCTTTTGCCAGTATAAGCCTTTTTATGTTTGAGGTTTTTTTAGGTTGACCCTTAATGGTCTTTGAGAGCCACCTTGCTATGTGGTATAGTAATATGTTTCAGTCTCATTTTGTTATACTGTGCTAACGGACCTTTGTTTCTATGAATGGGAAATGATATTTCAAAACCAGAGTCTGGATGCTAGGGATGCTCATTTTTGCCAAGTTGGTCACTGTTTCTAGGCCTTTTCAGTGGACTAAAACTAGGAAATACAGTGCTTTTTTTGTTTTTTTTTTTTAAGGTAGAATACATTATGAGTTTATACTGATACTTCAAATTCACTACTATAAGATGTTTAACTTTTCTTTGTCTCATGTTGAGAATCATAGTTTTCAAAGTCACTGGAGAATTAGAATCTATAATAATAAAAGCACAATATGCTAATTAGACTAGACAGTCAAACGACTTTCTGGACATCCTTCCAGACGAAGCCACCGCGGCGAGGGCCAAGGCAGAGGCAGTTAGGGGCAATCAGGCAGGCAGGCAGGCAGGTGAGTGGTTAGGAGCCAGCAGTCCTGGATTGCGAGAGGGATGTCCAACTGCCGGTTTAGGCCTCATTCCACTGCAGGATTGGGCCTAAACTGGCAGTCGACATCCCCTGAGGGGTCCCAGATTGCGAGAGGGTGCAGGGACCCTCCACCCCCGTGGATGAATTTTGTGCACCAGCCCTCTAGTCTGTATATATACAGTAAAAGCCTATGCAACCATTAGGACCGAAAAACCGGAATGACCGGAATGACTGGTTGACCAGTCACTATGATGCAGACTGACCACCAGGGGCAGATGCTCAACTCAAGAGTTGCCCCCTGGTGGTCAGTGTGCTCCCACAGCCAACCTCTCACAGCCCCTCCCCCCGGTCACCTGGCCAACCTCCCATGACCCCTTCACCCAGTCGGCCATCCCCCGACTGGCAGGCCAACCTCCCATGGTCCCTTCCCCCATGAGCTGACCCTCCAATAGGCCTCGATTGCCGGCCAGGCCAAGGGACCCCACCTGTGCAGAATTTGGCGTTCTGTAGAACTCTGTTTGGATATGTGGGTTTTTTTCAAGTTTCCTTTTTTTTTAATTTTTTTCAACCAGTTTTCTATAGATGGACATTTAGGATGTTCCCCAACACTCTCACAAATTAAAATATAATACCATAAACTTGAATATAACTCCCAATATATTTTTAATACTGCAATTTAAAAATAAGTTACATAGCTCTTTTATTGTTTTTTATTTTTTATTTTTAAAATATATTTTATTGATTTTTTACAGAGAGGAAGGGAGAGAGATAGTCAGAAACATCGATGAGAGAGAAACATCGATCAGCTGCCTCCTGCACACCCCCCACTGGAGATGTGCCCGCAACCCAGATACATGCCCTTGACCGGAATCGAACCTGGGACCCTTCAGTCCTCAGGCCGACGCTCTATCCACTGAGCCAAACCGGTTTCGGCTACATAGCTCTTTTAAATGTATCCAGATATCCTGACTATAGGCCTCTCAAATAGTAAAATTTTATATGAATAGAATTACCATTTATAATTATGGTTAATACGCAGAATTAACCCCATATAATATAAATTTTGATGTGGTTATTTTAAACTTTGAAGTGCATCTCTTAGTGAAAGAGTTATTTCCCCAAGTAGTTCATGTATCTTCAGATGGGTTTTTCTGATTGCTAACTCAGAGAATTTATAATTGTTTATTTCTTCTGTTTTGTTTTGTTTTTATAGATATGACTAATCTAGATGTCAGGAAGTGCTTCCCTATCTGTTTAATTGGTGTTTAAATTAAAACTGAATGATAAATAGGAGTTAGGCAGATAAAGATGAAGAGGACAAGATAAAAGCGGAAGAGTAATCCCTCCTATGTAAAAGATAAAATATCGTATAATGAAAAAAAATTGTAAATATGTATCTGAACTCATAAGAGTCTTATAGATGTCAGAAATAACAAGAAACCCAAAGCCAAATTCCCTAGCTGTCATATGAAATCAGAACCCTCAGTTTGCACAAACTTGGGTTTGGCATCCTGCATGTACACTCATCTGAAGCAAAGAAATTAACAAAGTAATTGATTTTAGGATTCATAGAACTTGTAGAGTGCCAGGCAAAAGCAAATACATAGCAACTGTATTTGGAAATTGTTACAGTCTGGGCCTAATGGGAGCGCTAATGATAGATACATTGCTAAAGAAGAGGCATTCCATATAGAAGGCAAAACACACAAACATCGAAAAAAACAAGTATTGGGAATAGCACTCAAGAATTTAAATAACAAAACAAAATGAATGAGATAAAATATTAGTATAGTAAAACCACGATGTAATGGACTAATTCAGGCATGGGGGAGTTCGTTAAAGTCAAAAGTCTATTGCATAATAAATTAGGTTGTCTGATTGTGTGTATGTTAAAAAATTGATGAAGGAGTTTACCTGTTTTTACTTATGTAGAAATGTTTATGTAATTAAAATTAAGTATGTATAAAAAGTTTGATTTCACAGAAAAGTTTTCTATATGTATTACAGTAATTTTAAAATCACCTGTCACCCCGAGTAAACAGATGCACACAGGTGGTGTCATGTGGTATGATCATATGCTAATCATTCACCAAACACTGTTTATGACTGGTGACTCTTGGATTTAAATATGTAAACTATAGTTGTAGGTATGTAATTTTTATTTATGTTGACAAAAATTATTACAGTGTTTTTTCCAACATATAGCCTATTCACTAAAATTTGTTAAAAATAACAGTGAATTAATACCAAAAAGTAACCAGCTAATTTAATTGTCAGCAAATCTTGGTTTTAAAAGCATTTTAGAATTAACAGGGTGTTAATTTTTACATATGACATATGGACCAGAAACTTTGTTTGTTAAATCTAGATCTGCAAAATCGAGGGTTTAGTGTAGTGATTTAAAAGAGAAAACAATTGGAAAAGAAACACACACAAAATGAATCAAATAGTACTTCTATGTTGGAAAATGACCACATGTACTTCTGTTAAGTACAGTTAAAAACCTGAAAATTACATGTAAAATAAACATAAGACTGAAAGGTGAGGGGATGAAAGCAGACCAGCTGAGGGTCTCAGAACCCAGGAATGACACAGCAGAATGAAGAGGAAATCTAGACATTCTTATCTGAAGTAAAACTAAGAGAATTTGTCAACAGCAGGCCTACCCTAAAATAAAGTCTATAAGAAATTTCTGAAACAGAAAGCAAATTATTAAAGGTACTAAAAGTACTAGAGGCCTGGTGTACAAATTTGTGCATGGGTGGAGTCCATCTGCCCGGCTGTCGATCTGGGACCGATCAGGGCCGTCTAGCCCAGCCCTGATTGGGGCCATCGGGCCATGGGGGCCGGCTGGCTGGGGAGGGACTGTGGGAGGGCTCCAGAGCATGTCCAGCTCTCTCACCCATTCCCAATCAGCCAGACCCCAGCAGCAAGCTAACCTACTGGTTGAAGCATCTGCCCCCTGGTGATCAGTGCTTTTCATAGGGACTGGTTGAGCAGTCGACCAAATGGTCAACCGATTGGTTGGACACTTAGCATATTACGCTTTTACTATAAAGGATAATTGTGAAACATCAGGAAGGATGAAAAAATAAAAAGAATAAAGTCATGTTTTCTTTTGTGTTTTCTAAATCATGTTTCATAGTTGAGTCAAAAATTACAGTAACATTTTATGTGGTTCAAATATATCTGGAAGAAGTATTTAGGAAATTACATTATGTACAGGGAAAGGCAAAAGAACTTAGAGAGAGGTAAGACTTATAAAATGTTGATACCAATAGACATATTTAAAAAGAAAACCTACAAAAAATACACTCAACAGCACTATAGATAAAAAAGGAATTTAAAAATTCAAATAACCCACAGGAGGACAAGAAAAAGGACACAAAAATAATCATGGAAATGAAAAATAGTATTTGTTAAATGGTAGGCAGTTCAAGAAAAAACTAGTGATCTGGAACAGGAATATGAGGATTTGTTCATAACAGAGAAAGATTGAAAACGAGGTTTTGTGAAAATTACAATAAGAGAACCCAAACATATATTTAACTAAATAAACAAGATGGAGGCAGGGCAGTATTACAGAAAATGCTGCTTAAGCCCTGGCCTAGAGGCTCAGTTAATTTGAGTGTCATCCTATACACCAAAAGGTTGAGGATATAATTCCTGGTCAGGAGGCTTCCAGAAGGCAACCAATCGATGTTTCTCTCACATCAGTGTTTCTCTCTCTCCCTTCTTCTCTCTCCCCCAAAATCAATAAAAACATATTCTCGGGTGAGGATTATGAAGTAAAATGAATAAAATAAAATAAAATAAATAAAATAAAATAATAAAAATAAAATAAAATAGAAAATGCTGCAGAAAAAGTTCTTGAGGATCACAGGGCTTAATGAGCCAAAGTAGTGTAATTTGTGGTGAAACTGCATTCATGAGCCAAAAGACACTTGTAAAAATGAGTTACACTGGAAGCATTTTGTGGTGTGTTTTTTTTCAGTAATGTCAACAATGAAAACAGATAGCCCTGGTAATAACTTCACAAACTAGTTACATTATCATTCAAGAGTGAGAGAAATAGACATTTGGAGACAGTTTATTTTTTCCTAAAGAGATTAATTATGTAAACATTTAGGGAAGAAAAACTGAACCTAGAAAGAAAAAGATACAAGAAGCAGCAGTGAGCACAGGTATGGGGAAAATATGAATAAATAAAAATGAGCATTGGCCATTAAAATACAACTAAATTTTGGTAATATGGTTAAAATAATTAAAATATTAGTGAAAAATTAATCTGTAAGAAGAGAATGGGTATTGTTGGGTTTATTGTTTTAAGGGACTTGTATTGCTGAAGTAGTGTTGAGGAAGCATCAGTTAGCTTTAGATTATTAAATCAAGTATGTATCTTTTAAGTTATGTTCTAAAATAACAGTAAGAGCGTATGTAACTTCCAAACCAGGTTGGTGAGGTCTGGGGGCGAAATAAAGAAGATAATGAGCCCTAACCAGTTTGGCTCAGTGAATAAAGCGTCGGCCTGTGGACTCAAGGGTCCCAGGTTCGATTCCGGTCAAGGGCATGTACCTTGGTTGCAGGCACATACCCAGTAGGGAGTGTGCAGGAGGCAGCTGATCAATGTTTCTCTCTCATCGATGTTTCTGACTATCCCTCTCACTTTCTATAAAAAATCAATTAAAAATATATTTTTAAAAAAGAAGCTAATGGACAGAAAATAGGATAAAAACAAGCAAAGAAAACACGTGTTCAGAGAAAGCACACTATAAAGTAGGAAAATACTCTAAATTTAGATTGGTAAGAATGACACATAAATAGCTTAGACTTTTGTGTATTAAAAAGATAGGATCGTAAATTGCATTTTAAAGAAATGACTTTAACACAAAATAAATTAATGAGATTCTAATCTTTAAAAAGAAGTCTTGTCCTTAAATGACCCTAATAATAGTGTAAAAAAGAACAAATTCTTTAGGAACATTGAATAGTTGAATCTATTTGTACCTTTAAACATGTCTCAAAGGAGTTAATAAGTTTAAGCATACAAATAATTAGTGAGGGTCTAAAATAGCAGTGATTAAAGTATTTGTTTTTGAAAAGGGTTTATAAAAGGAAGCCTTGAATATACATAATTACTCTCTTTGTTTCCACAATATGCTGGAGACCCTAGCAGAGCAACAACACCAAATGAATAAGTGAATGTTATTAAGGTTCACAAGAACTAAAATTATCATTTGTAGCCTACATGATTGTCTAACCGAAAATAATGTAAGAAATTCTTCTATAAAGTGTTTAGCAAGGTTACTGGATACAAGAGGTAAAAGATTTTATCAGGGAGGTTTGCTAGGGAGAAGGAATGGTAAAGAAATTGGTAAACAGAGCAATTGTACAAAAATGTTTACTTTGGAAATTTATGAAACTGAGAAGAATTTTTAACTAGCATAAGAAGAGTGAGAGCAATTAGTTTTAAGTGTTGTAAGGCCTTTGTATTGTTTGGGAAGAGGGTAAACACTAGTCGCTCCCAAACCCCATCCATGGTTTCACTTTTCTTAGTTTCAGTTACTCTTGATCAATCACGGTTCAGAATTATTAAGTGGAAAATTCCATAAAGAATTCATAAATTTTAAATTGTATACTATTTTGAGAAGCATGGAGAAATCTTGCCCTCCCTGAGATGTAAATCATTCTTTTATCCACGTTATCCATGCCTCTTAGTAGCCATCATGGTTTTCAGATGGACTGTCACAATATTGCATTGCTTGGATTCAAGTAACCCTTATTTACTTAGTAATCGCCCTAGCGTGCAAGAGTAATAATACTGGGAATTCAGATTGCCAAAGAGAAGCCATAATGTGCTTCCCTTCAGTGGTTCTCAACCTTCTGGACCTTTAAATGCAGTTCCTCATGTTGTGACCCAACCATAAAATTATTTTCGTTGCTATTTCATAACTGCAATGTTGTTACTGTTATGAATTGTAATGTAAATATCTGATATGGAGGATGGTCTTAGGCGACCCCTGTGAAAGGGTCGTTCGACCACCAAAGGGGTCGCGGCCCACAGGTTGAGAACCGCTGCTTTAAGTGAAAAGTCGAACATTCTCAACCTCAATAAGGAAAGAAAAAATCATGTTGAGTTGCTACAATTTATAGTAAGAACAAATCTGTGAAATTGTGAAGAAGGAAAAAAATTCATCCTAGTTTTCCTGTATTGCACCTCATATTGCAAAAGTTACAGCCACAGTGTGTGAAAAATGCTTAGTTAAGATGAAAAAGGTATTAAATTATGGGTGGGAGACATGAACAGAAAACTTGCTCCGAATCATGGCAACACGTTGCACCAGAAAGCATTGCACTTTATGAAGACTTCAGTAAGGAATCCCTGAAACAGATGTCACCAAACCATTTACTGCAAGTAAGGGATGATCGCACAGATGCAGGAATAGGTTTGGACTGAAAAACAAAAATTACTGGAAAGGCTATCTGCCCATGAAGAAAGTACTGCCATATTTCCAGCAGAATTAAAGAAGTTGATTACTAAGGAGAAAGGTATGTATATATAGGAAAAATAGTATATTAGGGTTCAGTACTACCCACAGTTTTGGGCAGCTATTAGGGGTCTTGGAACATATCTCCCAATAAGGCAGGACAACTGCACATTGATTCACTTTAGATTTTAAATTTGCCTATTAAAATCTTAAGAGGTAACTATTTAAAAAAGTAGTAGTGTGACTTTTTAAATAGAAGGTAAATTGGGATTTAAAAATAAAGCTAGAAATGTTAATTCCCTATTGTAATATCAAACACATGTATGAATGTTCTCTCAGTACTTTTCTTCTCTTAAGTTTTAAGCAGGGTCTGAAAACTCTTGGAGTTTTGGAGAAAATTCAGACTTATCCAGAAGCATTTTATAGCATCTTCTGTCATAAACCTGAGAATCTTTCTGCAAAAATGCTTAGAGATCTTTTTACAGTAAACACATGTGACGCACAGTCTTTGGGATTTTGGAACAGTTACTTACAGGCTGTTGAGGGTATGTGGATGTTTTGTTTTTATCTAACTATCTTAGAATGTTTGTTTCAGTATATTAGTTTATTTGAGTTTTGCATTTTGATAATAAGAATTTTCATTGGCTAACTCCATATTTACAAAACATTTAAAAATAAGTTTGTGTGATTGAGTTGAAATTGATGAGGAAAGGTTAAGAATAAAATTATATTTTACAACATTTTTGTTAATATAATTTGAGGTAAGAGGCAGTCTTCCTAGGAATTTTAAATATATGGGTGATGGCCACTGCATAGAATAGTATAAAAGCTAATTGTTTCATCTTTCTCAAACTTGTTAATTACTCATCCATTGGTTAGGGCTATGATATTGATGTTTATCATTGAGCATTAGCAATGTAAAATCTTTTTGTTTAATAGAGTGGAAAATATTTTAACTTTCAGTTGAATCTTCTTTCAGACAAGTTTTTATTGTTGTTGTTTTACACAGTTTAGTTTTTCTCTGCATTTATTGAACTAATTAAGTGATTTTCAACCAGTGTGCTACAAGAATTTTTATATAATGCAATACTTGACTATTTAGTCAGGGGCACTGATCTCTTTTCCCTTAGATTTCCAAATAAACAAATGACAACGGCCAACACAATAGC